ACCAGTTGTGGGAAGGTGGAGGGAATGACGCTTTGACAGTCGTACCTTGGAAGTCGAACAGAATCCATTCCGGAAGTCCGTTCGACTTCCAAAACATTCGGAAACCAGAGCGCGGCTTCCGATTGGCTGCGGGAAGCTCCTGCAGCCAATCGGAAGCCCCGTCGGACGTTCGGGTTCCAAAGAATGTTCGCAAAACGGAACACTCACTTCCGGGTTTGCGGCATTCGGGAGCCAAAACGTCCGAGTACCAAGGTGTTCGGGATCCAAGGTACGACTGTATATAAAGGTAAAGGGACCCCTGACCATTAGGTCCAGTCGTGGCCGACTCTGGGGTTGCGGCGTTCATCTTGCTTTATTGGCCGAGGGAGCCGGCGTACAGCTTCCGGGTCATGTGGCCAGCAGGACTAAGCCGCTTCTGGTGAACCAGAGCAGCGCACGGAAACGGCGTTTACCTTCCCGCTGGAGTGGTACCTATTTATCTACTTGCACTTTGACTTGCTTTCGAACTGCTAGGTTGGCAGGAGCAGGGACCGAGCAACGGGAGCTCACCCCGTCACGGGGATTCGAACCGCCGACCTTCTGATCGGCAAGCCCTAGGCTCTGTGGTTTAACCCACAGCGCCACCCGCGTCCCGTGTTGAGGTGGAGGGGGCGTTTAAGTGGTGACTGCTTGTTGTGGGGCGGACCATTGCTGGTGGGTTTTTATCCAATGGGTTCCTTCCCACAGCTCAGAGTGGCTGGGGCACCCCAGTCAGGTGGGCCGCATAGAAGTAATGAAATCCTCATTAGTATTATGATGTTCTGTTTGGCCCATATTAGATGCCTAAGGCCCCAGCCGCAAACTAGGGTGCCTCCGTTAAACCCCTGGGCTTGGCAACAGGGAGCCCTCGAGATATCTTTTGGGACTACACCTCCCATCAACCTTTGCCCTTTCTTTGCAAGAATCTGACTCCAATTCGACGGTGGCTCCCTGCTTCCTCACCTGACACCACTTCCCTCTGTTAGCCTTCCTTTTTCACCCAGGCCCCTGAAGCGGAAGGTTTTCAAGTATTTGTGGCCTCGTTTCATGGGGCAGGTTCTGCCTTTGAGTGGAAGAGATGCGCTCCTTCCTAGGTTTCATGGATTGGAATTTAATGTTCATGTACTGCGTTGCAAGTCCGCTTTGCAAGTAAAGAGACTGACATTCATTAATAATACTTGGTGTGGAATATACCCGTATTTTTCGCTCTATAAGACGCACCAGACCACAAGACGCACCTAGTTTTTGGAGGAGGAAAAAAAGAAAAAAAAAATCTGAATCTCAGAAGCCAGAACAGCAAGAGGGATCGCTGTGCAGCGAAAGCAGCAATCCCTCTTGCTGTTCTGGCTTCTGGGATAGCTGCGCAGCCTGCATTCGCTCCATAAGACGCACACACATTTCCCCTTACTTTTTAAGAGGGGGAAAGTGAGTCTTATAGAGCAAAAAATACGGAATGTGGTTGGGATAGCTTTTCTTTAAAAAAAAACCTCTACATGGACAGAAGAAGCCCTGAATTGCTTGTTAGATAGCCAGCCGCTCAGGACAGGCTGGCTTGCCTTGGGATATTGCCAAAGTCACCGCTGCGGGAATATGCCCACTTCTGACACCAGTTTGCCCCCACTCGCGATGCTGCTTTAGGCCAGGGTGGGGACCGTCTGTGCCCTTCCAGATGGCGCTGGACTCCAACTCCCAGCAGCCAGCAGGGGCAGTAGTCAAGGATGATGGGAATTGTAGTTCAGCAACTTTTGGAGACCCATAGATTCCTTCCCCTCTCTCTCTCTCTCTCTCTCTCTCTCTCTCTCACACACACACACACACACACACACACACAACAGGAATGTTTAAGTATATAGTAAAATTCTGGCATATTTTAGACTAGCCTGCCGCAGGAGATCTTGTGTAGCAATACATATACATATATATATATAGATATATCTCTAAGTTTAAAAAGATACATTTTTTTTGGTCAAATCGCTACCCTTGGCATGTTTGGCTCTCCTGCCACCGAAGCGAAGCTGTGGGGTGTGTGGGTTTTAAAATGTGCTTTTAAATAATCTGATATACGCCCGGGGTCAAGGGTGGGGGGGTTGGAAGGGTGGCTGAGAGCGGAGGTAATGGGTGGGATGAATCTAGGGAGGAAGTGCAGTGTAATGGTTAGAGCGTTGGACCTGGAAGAGCAGAGTTCGAATCCCCCACTCAGTCATGAAGCTCACCGGGTGATCTTGGAGGATGAAATCGGGGGGGGGGGACCTTTTGCCACACCTAGAGATCATTGGAAGATAAAGGAGGCATATAAATGAAATAAATAAACGACGATAATAAGTAAGAGCTAGGGAAACAGAGCTTGGGTTTTCTGGGAAAGGAAGGGGTAGCGGTCTGGGGTGATACAGATGTTTCTGGGTGACAAACTCCACAAAGGAGGCTGGGGCAGATGGGAGTTCGGGGTTCAGCCATATCTGAAGACATCCGTCTGTCCCCACAGCAATGGGGTAATGGGGGGTGGAAACAGGGGAGGGGCGGGACAGGGTTAAAGGCTGGGGAAAGGGGTGGTTAAGAAAAAACCCTGGGATAGGCAATGTGCTCTACGTGGGACTACCTTTGAAGGTGACTCGGAAACTGCAATTAATCCAGAATGCGGCAGCCAGACTGGTGACTGGGAGCGGCCGCCGAGACCACTTGAAAGACCTACATTGGCTCCCAGTACATTTCTGAGCACAAGTCAAAGTGTTGGTGCTGACCTTTAAAGCCCTAAACGGCCTCGGTCCTGTATACCTGAAGGAGCGTCTCCACCTCCATCGTTCTGTCTGGACACTGAGATCCAGCTCCGAGGGCCTTCTGGCGGTTCCCTCATTGCGAGAAGTGAGGTTACAGGGAACCAGGTAGAGGGCCTTCTCGGTGGTGGCGCCCGCCCTGTGGAACGCCCTCCCAGCAGATGTCAAGGCAATAAACAACTATTTTACTTTTAAAAGACAACTGTTTAGGAAAGTTTTTAATGTCTGACGCTGTATTGTTTTTAATATTCGGTTGGAAGCCGCCCAGAGTGGCTGGGGAAACCCAGCCAGATGGGCGGGGTATAAATAATAATAATAATAATAATAATAATAATAATAATAATAATAATTATGCCAGTGGCCCATCTAGTCAATGCAGAACAGCAGGCTGCTCTCAAGGCAACCTGAATTTCAATGCTGGTTCGGCACGCATTCCGTTCTCTTTAAACCACCTTTGCTTTCATTTCAGTTGTATACTATAATGATGTTATTAACATGTTGCAAGCTGCCTTGAAATCCCAATTTTTTTTGGGGGGGAGGAGGATACAAATATAGAGAATTGTAGAGGTGGAAGGGGTCTCATGGGTCATCTAGACCAACCCCCTGCAATGCAAATAATAATAATAATAATAATAATAATAATAATAATAATAATAATAATAATTTCAGCATCCTGTTCTCCCAGTGGCCAACCAGATGTTTGTGGGAAGCCTACAAGCGGGATTCGAGCACAAGAGCAACTCTCCCCGCCTGTGGTTTCCAGCAACTAGTTTTCAGAAGCAACTGGGGAGGGGGCTGATGGCAACAAGGCCCTGCCAAGCCCTCCAGTGCCCCCTCAACAGAGATGTACTTAGATGCAGCCGGTTGGCAACTAAGAATGCACCGGCCAACAGGACTCTCAGTCTGATGCAAGAAAACCAATTCTGAATGACCCTGCAATTAGGACAATCTGAAGGGCGGTTAAGACTGCTAGATCAGCTGGCTTTTAAAAAACAAAAATAAAATAAACACGGGGCAGAAGGGGCAGTTTGTCGTGCCACCGTCCCCTCTAAGAATGAAACAAATTAACGGGAGGATTAATAAGCAGCTTTTTTTGGACATGGCAGCCAAACAGAACCTCCAAGGACAAAATTAATTGGAGAAACTTGCAAATAGCAGATTTAGGGCTTAGGGTTTAAATATGTAATGTGATGAATTAATATGTTTAATGCTGAACTGGAAAGGGGAAAAAAAAGATGTTACATGATTAAGTTAATTTTATAAGAATAACGGTTTTGAAAACCGTTAAAATGATATACAGGTGAAACTCGGAAAATGAGAATATCGTGGGAAAGTTGATTTCAGTAATTCAACTTAAAAGGTGAAACTAATATATGAGATCGACTCATGACATGCAAAGCGAGATGTGCTTCTACTTCTCAGAGGTCCAGTCTTGCTCAGTTTGCAATCCTTGTTTTGCTGATTTCCTTGAATATTCTAATTTTCTGAGATTGTTAATTTGGGCTTTTCATCAGCTGTACGCCATGATCATCGCAATGATAATAAATCAAGGCTTGACATATCTCGCTTTGCATGTCACGAGTCGATCTCATATATTAGTTTCACTTTTGAAGTTGAATTAGTGAAATAAAGGAACTTTTCCACAATATTCTAATTTTTCAAGTTTCTCCTGTACACTGAAATTCAACCAGGGGGATACGAGGAAGTCACTTAACAATGTTTCTGAGTTTGGTTTAAATAAGGTCGAGATTTATGTTCGTTTGTCTATTTGTTTGTTTAATTTTTTTTGGGGGGGGGGAATCCATAAAAAAAATTGGGGAAAAAAGAACCTCCAAAGACAGGGGCAGTCTACCTCTCAGCAACCAAAGGGAGTTGTGTGTGTGTGTAAGCAAGTCTTTTCATGCCCTGCTGCTTGTGAGTGCTCTTAGGCTGGACACTGTCAGAAACAGTCCACTGGGCAGATGAGGTATTGGTCTGATCAATCAATGCACAACAGATTTTTTTTTTGGGGGGGGGGTTGGAATGGTTGAATGCAGATAGAATGGGAAGTGGGAAGAGGGTCTGGAAAGGCAGTGTGCTATTGGGGGGGGAGGTGGGGGGGGGGCTGGCGTTCCAGATCTCTGTTTCCAAGAATCAGCCATGCCTTTGGGCTGTGCAAAGTCTCTAAGCTCGCGTTGTGTATACAGAATCATAGAGATGAATAGTCCAATGTAGGAATAACCCTCTGCAATGCATATATATATATGTATATCTACACACACATACACACAGAGACACACGTGTATCAGTTGCATACTGTTTGATTTGTTCCCCTGAAGAGAGAACTCTTCTGCAATAATATTTTGCTTGCATCTTCTTGGGTTAGCAAGTTCACGCATACACACACACTCATACACGCTGGAAACATCGGCTATCTGCAGAACAGTAAAAAATAAAATAAAATTCAAGTCTGTTGCTGGAGGCAGTGTTGTAACCCTTATCAATAGGTTCCTTTCCTTTTCTTTGCTTCTTCGTCTTTTTAAACAGTTAGCCCTCCATTTGATCAGGAATATTTGGCTGTTGAGGAAGGGGGCGAGGAGGAGAGCCTCCCCCCCCACCCTTGCCCCGCTGCGCTCTTTCCTCTTTCCGTTCCGGCGCAGCCACGGAAATGCCGCCGCGAAGGCACTTCTACCTGCCCTCATCCGCGGAGGCTTCTTCAAAGACGCGCCCCAGAATCCCTTCCCCTGGCCCTTCGTCCGCACTCCGTCCTGGACGCCAAGGCGGAAACAGCTTCTCCTTTTGCACCCGGCAGAGCTCTTGGGGGGGAAAGACCCAGGCCCTTTCAGACGCCATTCGTGGATCAGGCACTATCTGTCGTCTCGTGTCGACTCACCCGCCGTAGAAAGGAAGAAAAGTTTGGTCCTGTGGTTTTTCTTTTTCTCTTCTTCTTCTTCTGAACGTTTTAAAAAAAATAGAGTTGCTGTAATATATATTTATATATCCTTATATATATATATATCTTTCTCTTTCTCTCTCTCTCTCTTCTACTTATATACACAACACGGTTTAAATTAGAAAGTCGGCGTTCAAGGCGACCTGTTAAAACGATGCAACCAAGTCGTCAGGTTGGTCCATTGGCTAAACTGGGGGGGGGGGGGGCAGCTGTCCGTGGTGCTGAATTCCCCCACACATACACACACACCCTGTGAATCCTTTCAGGAGGACGTTGTGAAAGGTGTTGTCGTTGTTGCTGGATGTTGGCTGGGTTTGTTTGTTGTCGTCGGCTTCCCCCTGCCCCCCCCCACACCGCCCAAGGAAGGTGGGGAATTGTTCGGGGGGCGGGGGATCCCTTCTTTAAAACGAAAGAACGAAATCAACTGGAAGAGGGGATGCTTAACTTCACCTAAAGGAGAAGAGAGAGAGAGAGAGGTTGGAATGCAAGGTTGCCAAAGTCACACACCTGTCGTCCTGCCGCCCCCCCCATATGATAAAATACAGCATGCTCACATTGTGCATGGGGGGCGTGCGCGTTCAGATCAGGGATCGAAACCGCTAGAGGCTGCAAGCACTTAAAATATTTTGGTGCCCCATACATATCTAATTCAAAATCTAAAACAACAATAAACCATGAACTGAAATTTTATTTTTTCAAAATGAAATGAAGCCTACGGTAAGATGGAAGGAGATGCCTATTTTTGTATACTTGCACTTTATTCGAATTTTTCTTTCCCCTCCTCCTTTTTCTAAAAGCCTTTGATCAGATCCTCAAAACTAATCTGGCGTCTATACCTAGTGGAGATCAGGCCCCCACAGCCTGCCTTAATAATAGTAATAATAATAATAATAATAATAATAATAATAATAATAATAAATTTTATTTATACCCTGCCCTCCTCAGCCAAGACCAGGCTCAGGGCAGCTAACACCAGGTAAAAACAATTGATTAAAATACAACTTAATAACAAGATTAAAATACAACATTAAAATGCAGCCTCATTTCAGTAGAAACTAAAATAAAAAACTTTTTGGGGATGGAAACGTCAAATCTTCACCAAGGCCAACTATCCAGACTGGTCCCACGTGGGCCAGAAAAAAGCCAGGGAAGGCCCCAAATAGGAGTTCCATCACAGAAGGAGAAAGGAAAAAGGGGGAGGGGATCAAGTTGATTCCAAGCCAAAGGCCAGGCGGAACAACTCTTGTTGCAGGGTAGTCATATTGGGGTTTTTAATAGATTCCAACAGAGAAAATGAACACTCAGCTGAGCAATTGGTGAGCATTAATGTTAAAAATCTGGCCATGGAAATTTTTTTGAGGTGCCCACTTCCCTTGATGCCCTAAGCATGTATTTATTTTGCTTATTGTTTCATCCAGCCCTGGTTGAGATCCAAGGGGTCCAAACCCCTAGAGGTGCCCCATGGCTGGCGGGTGAGAGAGAGAGAGAGAGAGGATCCCCACGACTCTCACAGGGAGCCTTGCCCAAACGCTGCAATTTTTCCTCCGAGGGGAGCTCTTTCAGTCCCTTGTATCGCTTCGGATGCCCTTTGGCTGGAGCTTTCCGGACTCCGTGACATCCTTGCATTTACCGTATTTTTCGCACCATAGGACGCACTTTTTCCCCTACAAAAATGAAGGGGAAATGTGTGTGCGTCCTATGGTGCGAATGCAGGCTTTCGCTGAAGCCTGGAGAGTGAGAGGGGTCAGTGCGCACCAACCCCTCACGCTCTCCAGGCTTCGCAGACCTCTCCACAAGCAGCGGGAGCCAGCGCTGGGCTCCCACGGCTTGCAGAGAGCTGCCTGTTTGGGGGCTGGGGTCAGGGGAAGCTCGAGCTTCCCCCGCCCCAGCCCCGCACCTGGGGGGGGAAAAATAATTTCCCCCCCTTTATTTCCCCCCAAAAAACTGGGTGCGCCCTATGGTCCGGTGCGCCCTATGGTGCGAAAAATACGGTACGTACTGCAGGACTGCAGTTTCCATCGCAGGGACGTGCATTTCAGTAGGGGTGGCTGGCATCCTTAGGCCTCTTCAATTGCACCTTCAATCTTTTCATCCCAATCTGGAACCCATTCATAGCCTGGATGGCTGTCTGGGCACTGGATGGGTTGTCGAAACTCACAAAGCCTGAATAAAAGGGGGAGGCAAAGATACGACATGATACAATACGATAATCTTTATTGTCATTGTCCCATGCAGAACAACGAAATTGGAAAAATCTACATCAGGCCTTCAAAAACCAACAAGCCTGCTATCCCAGCCTGGTTAGCCCCCTAAAAACTCTGATACCCCATAATTCAATACAATATACTCCCATAGAGACTACCTTAAAGTTAAAGGTAAAGGTACCCCTGCCCGTTCGGGCCAGTCTTGCCAGACTCTAGGGTTGTGCGCTCATCTCACTCAAGAGGCCGGGAGCCAGCGCTGTCTGCAGACACTTCTGGGTCACGTGGCCAGCGTGACAAGCTGCATCTGGCGAGCCAGCGCAGCACACGGAACGCCGTTTACCTTCCCGCTGGTAAGCGGTCCCTATTTATCTACTTGCACCCGGGGGTGCTTTCGAACTGCTAGGTTGGCAGGCGCTGGGACCTAACGACGGGAGCGCACCCCGCCGCGGGGATTCGAACCACCGACCATGCGATCGGCAAGTCCTAGGCGCTGAGGTTTTACCCACAGCGCCACCCGCGTCCCGAGACTACCTTACACTGCGTTTAAAACCAAAATCGCATTTGGATAGAAACTGTTTCTCAGGCGGCTAGTCCTAGTCTTTATAACCTTGTACCTTCTTCCAGAAGGCAGAAGCTGAAAGAGATCATTTCTGGGGTGCGCACTGTCCTGCGCTATCTCTGCCGCTTTCTTATGGCACCTGGAAGCATAGATTTGATCCAAGGTGGGAAGAGTGCACCCAATTATTCTCTCTGCAGTCTTTACAACCCTGGACAGCATTGTTTTTCCCCCGACCGTGCAACTCCCAAACCACACACACAGACCATAAGTTAATGCACTCTCCACAGTACAATGGTAAAATGCCATCAACAGGTCCTTTGAGAGATTGTTTTTCCGGGTCAGGTTTGCTGACAAGACTAAAACACTCAGGGTTGTTAAAAAAAAAGGCGATTGCAAAGGACCTCTCCAAACCGAGGGCTTCAAATTGCCTGCCCTCTTCTCTCTCTCCCTCGATCGCTCACCGAAACATTTGCTCTGATTTGTTGCGCGGTCCATGAAAACTTTGGAGGAGATGATGTTCCCAAAGGGAAGGAACATCTGCATGAGTTCGTTGTCGCCAAACTCCTGGGGGAGGTGGTAGATGAAAAGGTTGCATCCTTCGGGGCCTGCGGTTAAAGAGGCAGCATGGCATAGTGGTTAGAGCATCAGTTCAAATCCCCCCGCCCATTCAGCAATGAAACACCCTTGTGTGACCACATGCCTGTTGCATTATTTGGCTTGTATCCCACTAGGTGGGGGGTGGGAAAACCTCTGGCTACCATGAAGGAACCCAATTGGTCCTCCTGCAAGTATTTCCACCAAACTATGCCCTCCCGTCAGCAGATGCCACTTGCAAAATCATCCAGCGGGCAGGGTCAAATCCTGCACTGACTGTGCATGGCGTGCCTGTTTCCAGGAAGGGATGTGTGTGTCTGCATTGGAATTCTCTGCTTCAACAAAGATCTCCCCACAGTTCGCCACTTGGGAAAATGAACAGCAGTCATTTAAGACATTTGCAAGGTTAAAATGGCAGTGGACTAGAAAGAGACTGGCTTTCTAAACATTTGGGTGGGCGGGTCTATATGGGGATTGGTTTTTGGCAGCCGTGCACTGAGGTGGAAATAGCTTGCGCGCATGTGCACGGGCCTCCTCCGACCCGGATGTGCACCAGAAATAACGCTTGCACGTGCGCAAATAATGCTAGCGCATGCACACAAGCGATTTCCGGTGCTCCTCCGACCCAGAAGTGGGCAGCCACGCAGCGCAACGCCGGTAAGAGCGGGCAGCGGGGGTCACCGCCGGCCGGATAAATGAGTCCCTTGGGCATTAGGTTGGGGACCCCTGTCCTAAGCCCAGCCCACCCACCCCTCACATTTGGTGCTGATCTTGAGAAGGCTGTGGCCTGCGGAGCCCAGAAGATTCCTCACCCCTGAGCTAAGTCACACTAAGTCAACAGTCCCCCTGAGAGCAAAGGTTTCCTGCATTGCAGGGGGCTGGACTAGATGACCCTCAGGATCCCTTCCACGATTCTATGATTGCTGTGATTCTAACTCATTCCATCAACTCCATTGAAAGCTTACCCCCCACCCCCCAAAACCGGGTTCCTTCTCCAGAACCATTTTCATCCCAGCTGATTGTGGCAAGAACTACCATTTCAATAACGTGATTGGTGTCTGAGTTTACCGTATTTTTCGTCCCATAGGACGCACCTAGTTTTTTGGGGGGGAAATAAAGGGAAATTTTTCCCCTTTATTTCCCCCCAAAAGCAGGTCGGGGAAACCGAACCAGGTCGAGGAACAGCGGGATGGCAGCGCTGCGCCTCCCTGCTGTCCCCCGAGCTTGTGGGGCTGGCCGATGTCTGCCCGGCACGAGGGGCACTCTGCTTCAGGGCGCCCCGCCCGCCGGGCGGCAGGCTGCTATCCGCAGTGTGGGGAGCCCTGCGGGGAACTCCTGCAGGGCTCCCCACGCTGCAGAGGTGTTCCCGAAGTGCCGGGCGCTCTGCTTTCAGGGCGCCCGGCGCTCCGGGAAGCAGGCTGCTATCCGCAGGGCTGCCTAGGCTGCGGGTGTGTTCCCGAAGCACCGGGCACTCTGCGGGCACTCCCATAGGGCTGCCTAGGCTGCGGGTGTCTTCCTGAAGCCTGGAGAGCGAGAGGGGTCGGTGCGCATCGACCCCTCTCGCTCTCCAAGCTTCAGCGAAAGCCTGCATTCGCCCCATAGGACGTACCCAGATTTCCCCTTCATTTTTGGAGGGGAAAAAGTGCATCCTATAGGGCGAAAAATACGGTACTTTCCCCCCTCTTCCCTCCCCACTCCCTTTTCCTTTTGTGTCGTGTCTTTTCCATTGTAAGTCCATGGGCAGGGGCTGCCCTGTTTAAAACCGACAGCATGGCTGAAGGGTGGGGGGCACAAGTTCTCTAAACAGAAGAAAGGAAGATTGCCTTTGGACCCGGAAGACGACTTACCTTCCCGTTGCTGCTGCTGAATTATTGGAAGGGGCTGAGGGATGGGCTGAGCTACCGGGGTGATGGTGGTGGCTGGGTAGACAGCTGGGCAGGGAAAGAGAGGGGAGACAGAGCATTCGTTTGATTATTTTTCATGTATTTTGGTTTTTCAAAACATATTTTTCTTTCTTCAAATTTCATTGGCCGAAAACCAAAATGCAAAACGCTCCAAATCAGAGCAAAATGCTGCCAATAAATTCAGTCCAATACTATATACAGTTTGCATTTAAAAAAACACACACGAACAAAAAAATAATCAAATTAAGGAAAGGAAAAACCAACAAGTAAGGCTACTAACATACAGATTCAAGTTAGAATTTCAGGTCACCGCAATGCAAATATCTATCCACGTCCATTTTGCTCATGGAAAGCCCCTATAGCTCTGCAATCTTATATACTTCAAACACGCTTGCCTTTGTGTGCATTCAGGTGGGCTACTAGTTAAAGAACTGAATCAAACTCTACTGTATGTATATCGGTTTTAAAGCATGAAACTCTTAATCTCAGGGTTGTGAGTTTGAACAAAAGTTCGCAGCGGGTTGGATCAGATGATATTCACAATCCCTTCCAGCTCTATAATTCTATTCCAAGTACAGTGGTACTTTGCTTTACAACCATAATCCGTTCCGGAGGTCCATTTGTAAACCAAAATAGGTTGTAACCCAAGGCGTGCTTTCACCAATGGGGCCTCAAAAAAAATTGTCCGTAATAAAAAAAAAAAAAGGGAGGGGATTGTAATCCCCCCCCAAAAAAGGGTTGCAAACTGGGACACACACTTCCGGGTTTGACATGTTTGTAATCCAAGGCGTATGCAAACCAAGGTAAAGGGACCCCTGACCATTAGGTCCAGTCGTGGCCGACTCTGGGGTTGCGGTGCTCATCTCGCTTTATTGGCCGAGGGAGCCACATGACCTGGAAGCTGTACGCTGGCTCCCTCGGCCAATAAAGCGAGATGAGCGCCGCAACCCCAGAGTCGGCCACGACTGGACCTAATGGTCAGGGGTCCCTTTACCTTTACTTTTTATACCGTGGGAGTATATTGTGGATTGGCAATGGGTTTTTCGAAAGGCGGGCCTTTCTAACCCTAAAGTTAGAGGGAGATGGTCACTCTCAGTGTTCTGGCCCACTTGAAACTTCGTGACGAAGCCATACGCGAATCTTGAAATTAGAATCTCAAATGCTTCCGCCAGTCTTGGTAAAATGTGTGTATTCCCCAGGTCTGCCCCCCTCTTATGCACATGGTACCTGCATACTGCTGGACTCCGGTGAAGGCTGGGTGCATAGTCTCTGCTACCGATGGGTTCTGGGCTAAAAGAGAAGAGATCTTATTATATTTTTCTAAAGGAATGGGCGTGTTGAGAAGAAGGGAAGTCCTGAAACGTGAACGAGCCAAAAAATAATAATGGAGTTGGGAGTGGAAGCTTTTAATGTTTGATGTATTATAGTATTTTAATATTCTTTTGGAAGCCCAGCCAGATGGGCGGGGTATAAATAATAAATTATTATTATTATTATTATTATTATTATTATTATTATTATTATTATTATTATTGGGAGTCGCAACAGCATTTTGAACCATTGCTCGAAACAGCCATCAGAACCAAAGAGCCAGCAGCCGAAAGCTGACTCAGAACCTTGAGGACTAGAATGAGCAGGTTTACTGAAGATGGTAGTCGGGAGAGATGAGAGTTGGAGTCCACCATCATCTGGGAGGAGCATAGGCTGCCCATCCATATCCTCCTCTCTGTGCCTGTTTCCCGCACCCCACCTTTCCCCTTTCCTACCTGTGCAGGGAAGAAGCCCATTCGTATAAACGGCCTCCAAGGTGGGATGGGTGCTGGGAATGGGGACCACTCCTGCGAAGCTGTTGGTGATGGGGGCCACCAGTCCTGGGATGGCAGTCGTGCCCAAGAGAGGAGGCGAGTGTAACCCTGCAGATCAGAGGCAGAAAAGTGGGTAGCCTTTTAACAACAACAATCTTTATTATGGTCCAGAGACCCAACAAATCGTTACAAAGCAATACACAATTCATACAGCCTACCTCCAGGTTGGGATGCGGGTGGCGCTGTGGGTAAAAGCCTCAGCGCCTAGGGCTTGCCGATCGAAAGGGTCGGCGGTTTGAATCCCCGCGGCGGGGTGCGCTCCCGTTGCTCGGTCCCAGCGCCTGCCAACCTAGCAGTTCGAAAGCGCTCCCGGGTGCAAGTAGATAAATAGGGACCGCTTACTAGTGGGAAGGTAAACGGCGTTTCCGTGTGCGGCTCTGGCTCGCCAGAGCAGCGATGTCACGCTGGCCACGTGACCCGGAAGTGTCTCCGGACAGTGCTGGCCCCCGGCCTCTTGAGTGAGATGAGCGCACAACCCTAGAGTCTGTCAAGAGGTACCCTAGAGTCTGTCAAGGGGTACCTTTACCTTTTTTACCTCCAGGTTAAACAAGCATTTTGTTCAGAATATAGGGATCATTGGTTCTTGCAACCACTAATAAAAACTTTGCCATTGCTAATGTTCTAGCATTTGTCCGGTCTTCCAGTAGGAACCTGACATAGTGAGCCTCTGATTTTCCCGGGAAAGGTACCAGCGAGGGTAGTATCAGTTCAGCCCTGGCTTGCTCATATTTTGCACAGTGCAACAAAATATGTTTTATGGGATCGATGTCTTGAGCACACGAGCAAAGTCTGTCCTGGTAGGGAACTCCTTTCAACCTGCCATCCAACACTGCAGAAGGAAAGACGTTTAGTCTGGCTTTGGTGAAAAGCCTTTGATAGTTTGGTACTGTCAGGTTTTTAATGTAAGATGTTAACTTAAAGACATGCCCATATTGTACCCTTTTAACAGCTCTGGGGACAGCATTGGAGCTTGCCCCTCCGTGCATCCAGATGTGCCTTTCCCCCTCAGAAGCATCCTTACACCAGGTGCTTGTTCGTCTACTGTCTACACTGAGCGTGACCTTTCGCGCACGCTTTTCAACCAGGGCCGTCAGGAATCGAACCCGGGACTATCTGCATGCAAAAACAGATGCTCCCCCCATTGAACTAGCTCTCCAGGGAGAAAGAAAAGGAGAGGAGCTGCCTTGTACCAGGTCGGAACATTTACCTGTCTGAAGTCCTGCATTCTCTACCATGCATGGCAGAAAATATAAAATTAACCGGCAATCCGCCTCCATCTGGATTGTGGAAAATACAGTGGTACCTCGGGTAACATACGCTTCAGGTTACATACGCTTCAGGTTACACACTCCGCTAACCCAGATATAGTGCTTCAGGTTAAGAACTTTGCTTCAGGATAAGAACAGAAATCTGGCTCCGGCAGAAGGAGGCCCCATTAGCTAAAGTGGTGCTTCAGGTTAAGAACAGTCTCAGGTTAAGAACGGACCTCCGGAACGAATTAAGTACTTAACCCGAGGTACCACTGTAATGCAGGAGTGCAAATATCCAGAGTGTTGGGTTCAGATGGGATTACGATGAGAAATTATAAAATATGCATCAAGCCATTGCGTCCGCCATGAAAGCATGGCGTTGACTGGGTTCGATTCATTGACAATAATTTCTGATCAAATCCCACAACCCTCTGCATCTCTGGCCATTTCCTCTACTGTCCATTTCTCTCTGCTTGACAAGTCACGTACGCAGCCCAGTTGCCAGTTGCTGCATGAGGCATCCTGGGTCATAAAGATGCTAGTTAGCTTTGATGCAGTTTAATCTTTAGGTAGATCTTAGGGCCAGGAAGAGGGTTCACAAGAATATGGTAAATACTGCCATCTTTCCAGGAGATGGTAAATACCACCCATCCTTCCTTCCTTTATTGCTTGTTTATGACCTCCGGGTTTGCTGAACGCATCCCTCCTTTTTAAGGTAAAGGGACCCCTGACCATTAGGTCCAGTCGTGGCCGACTCTGGGGCGCTCATCTCGCTTTACTGGCCGAGGGAGCCGGCATATAGCTTCCGGGTCATGTGGCCAGCAGGACTAAGCCGCTTCTGGCGAACCAGAGCAGCGCACGGAAACGCCGTTTACCTTCCCGCCAGAGCGGTACCTATTTATCTACTTGCACTTTGACGTGCTTTTGAACTGCTAGGTTGGCAGGAGCAGGGACCGAGCAACAGGAGCTCACCCTGTCGCGGGGATTCGAACCGCCGACCTTCTGATCGGCAAGTCCTAGGCTCTGTGGTTTAACCCACAGCACCACCCGCGTCCCCCAGAAGTATGCATGCTTAAATTAGCTTTTTGTAGTTTGACTTTGTCCCCACATGGTTTTTTTTGAAATGCTCAGAAGAAATCTGATTGGCTCTTATGTACACTGTGTAAAAAGTTCTTTTGTGAATAAAACGACCTGGGCCGAGGGGTGGACAAGAATTATTATTATATGCACTCCTCCCAGAGTCTTGCTGGTTCAAGCCTCTGTGTATTTTATTATCAGAGTCCAATCCTTCCTTTACTTTGGGAACGCCTCAAATATTAAAGTTTGTTGGATCGAAGTCAGTGCTGGTCATATAGTGGAGAAGTACAAACCTACTAGATTTGGCTTGCATCTATCATTAGGCCAGCAGCCCTGTCATTAGGCAGCTGGGGCTGAGGGAGGGGAGCAGCGTACTGTAATAGAATTTTAAGGTCATATATGTATAGTAAATGTTCATAAATGTACCAATGTCTGGAGCAGCACAGGAAGGCCTCCTTGAAACTATGTTGACTCCCTGAAACCATTTCGACTCCCAAGCTGACCAAATGTTTCTCTGCAAGGAGGGAGGGGGTGAGGGAACCTACCCATTGTCTCAGGAATTAAGTAATCACCATTTCAAAAGGAATGGCCAGACTACCAGGAAAGGCAATCAGATACGGCATTATCAGAAAACCTGGCAGACTGGGAAAACAACACCACACTCAAATTTCTGTTGTAGACCACCTTTTCTGTGATGTAGGTATGATGTTTCTGGGGGGTGGTCTTGGGCTACACCCCTTCTGTGATGTATGTATGAATGATGTATGGAGAGGTGATCTTGAGCTCCAGGGCAGGGAATTTAAAATGGTCTATATAAGGGCAGGCACACCTTTGTTCTGGGTCCTCCTCCTTCTCCTGCGTGTGAGGGGAGCACCCTGTTGCAACAGCTTTAATAAAGATCAGGCTTACTAGCTGCTTCGCTTCTCAATATTCTCTGGTTGGCCTCTGTTATTTCCTCCTACCAATAGGGAACCCACGTAAGGACTCTATATGGGCTCTTGGATACCCCATCAGGGAAGAAGGGCAGATTTTGTTTACAACAGTACAAAGGGGAAAATCTCATTGGCTCCTCTGTCCCCTTTTCCCTCTTGGTGGCCCCCAGGCTGGGGAAACTTCCCCACCCCTGATACCAAGGATACGCACCTGAGGTTTGTGCAACAGGAGTGGCTGGCAAGCCATTTAGGCTGACGGTGCCGATTTGCTGGATGTGGCAGGGGGAGAAGGTGAGGCTTGGGCTGACGAAGCTTCCATGAGATGCCGAGAGGACGGTCTGCTGCTGCATCAGCTGAGAAAAGAAAAGGAAAATGCAGGCAAGTCTCCAGTGTGTAAGTAAAGTCGTGTCTACTGGGAAACACCATTGAAAAAGCCTGCAAATCTGAAGCAGGCTTCCTCAGCCTCGGCCCTCCAAATGTTTTGAGACTACAATTCCCATCATCCCTGACCACTGGTCCTGCTAGCTAGGGATCATGGGAGTTGTAGGCAAAAAAACATCTGGAGCAGGGATCCCCAAACTCGGCCCTCCAGCTGTTTTGGGACTACAACTCCCACCATCCCTAGCTAAGCAGGACCAGTGGTCAGGGATGATGGGAACTGTAGTCCCAAAACAGCTGGAGGGCCAGGTTTGGGGACGCCTGATCTGGAGGGCCGAGGTTGAGGAAGCCTGCTCTAAACCTCTGTAAACCCTTTAGAAAACCAAAACTCCACCGCAATAGCTCCTTCTAAACCTCCTTGTTCAAACTTTCCATAGGCTCCTGGGATTGCACGACGCTGTTTTTGCACCATTTTCACGCCTTTGGGGTGCCGTTTTTGCCCCTTTACGTGCCACTTCCTGGTTGGTGTCGTGCCTTAAAGTAAAGGTAAAGGGACCCCTGACCATTAGGTCCAGTCGTGGCCGACTCTGGGGTTGCGGCGCTCATCTCGCTTTATTGGCCGAGGGAGCCAGCGTACAGCTTCCGGGTCATGTGGCCAGCATGACTAAGCCGCTTCTGGCGAACCAGAGCAGCGCACGGAAACGCCGTTTACCTTCCCGCCGGAGCGGTACCTATTTATCTACTTGCACTTTGGCGTGCTTTCGAACTGCTGGGTTGGCAGGAACAGGGACCGAGCAACGGGAGCTCACCCCATCACGGGGATTCGAACCGCCGACCTTCTGATCGGCAAGTCCTAGGCTCTGTGATTTAACCCACAGCGCCACCCGCGTCCCACGTCGTGCCTTGAGAGTGTGCAAATAACAATCCGCAGCAACGATACTACAGAGAGAGATCTATCAATGGCTCGGCTAGGCCTCTACAGCTGCAACGCTTCTTTGACTTCCTTCCCCTCTTTCTTCAGTTCCTTAAATTTATTCTTTCATATATTCTGCATATCCAGATTAACTTAATTTGCTCATGCGCTCATCTACTTTAAATCTATACTCATAAAACTGCAGGTTATTACAATAATCCTGCCAATGTTTTAATCTGTTTACAATTTATCTGCAAATTTTCAATAAACCATTTCCATTCTTTTATAAAGAATTTGTTATCTTGATTTCTTATTCTTCCGGTAAGCTTTTGTATGCATAAGCTTTTGTATGCATTCTTCCTTTGCTGGGACTTCTGCTTCTTTCCATTTTGGGGCAAGTAACATTCTTGCCGCTGTAGTAGCGTACATAAATAAATTTCTCTACAACTTAGGTAGTGCTGTCCCTATAATTCCCAAAAGAAAAGCTTCTGGATTTGTTTGTTTTTAATAAAAGTTATTTTGAACATCTTTTTCAATTCATTATATATCTTTTCCTAGTAAGCTTTAACCCAGTAAGCTACAAGACCACCACATATGATAAAAAGAACCTTCTTTCGCGTTCCAAAATTTGTTTGATTTAGATTTATACATTTTTGACAGTTTACTCGGTGTTAGATACCAACGATATATCATTTTCATATCATTTTCTCTTCGAAGAAGAAGACTTTGGATTTGATACCCCGCTTTAGCACTACCCGAAGGAGTCCCAAAGCAGCTAACATTCTCCTTTTCCTTCCTTCCCCACAACAAACACTCTGTGAGGTGAGTGATGCTGAGAGACTTCAAAGAAGTATGACTAGCCCAAGGTCACCCAGCAGCTGCAGGTGGAGGAGCGGGGAAGCGAACCCGGTTCCCCAGATTACGAGTCCACTGCTCTTAACCACTACACCACACTGGCTCTTAGACCAGGGCTCAACAAACTTTTCAGCAGGGGGCCAATCCACTGTCCCTCAGACCTTGTGGAGGGCCAGACTATATATATATATATATTTGAACGAATTCCTATGCCCCACAAATAACCCAGAGATGCATTTGAAATAAAAGGACACATTCTACTTATGTAAAAACACACTGATTCCCGGACTGTCCGTGGGCCGGATTGAGAAGGCGATTGGGCCTGATCCGACTCCCGGGCCTTAGTTTGCCTACCCGTCCACCCTTTCTCAACCTGTGAGTCCCCAGATGTTGTTGAACTACAACTCCCATCCCCCCTAGCTAGCAAGGCCAGAGCTCAGGGATGATGGGAGTTGTAGTCCAACAACATGTGGGGACCCACAGGTTGAGAACCGTTGTCTTAGACCATAAAGGTAAAGGGACCCCTGACCATTAGGTCCAGTCGTGGCCGACTCTGGGGTTGGGGCGCTCATCTCGCTTTATTGGCCAAGGGAGCCGGCGTACAGCTTCCGGGTCATGTGGCCAGCATGACTAAGCCGCTTCTGGCGAACCAGAGCAGCGCACGGAAACGCCGTTTACCTTCCCGCCAGAGCTGTACCTATTTATCTACTTGCACATGACGTGCTTTCGAACTGCTAGGTTGGCATAACATGCTGCAAATTTTATATCCCAATTCCACAATCCTCCCCATGTTGCTCTTCTTCCGTTCTTACGGCCGTGTCGTGACGGGTGCCCTGCTGAACGCAGGCACGCAGAAACACGCACCCCGAATTCACACCCCGCCAGCCCTCCCTCTGCTGCCTCGCGTCCAGGCAGATACTCACAGCCTGAGCATATGTGCTGTACGGGGTGAAGGGCAGCGCAAACGAAGGCGTGAGGATCCCCAATTGCCCAACCATCTGCTGCATGCGCCGGAGGGTCCGCTCTTTGTCCGTGTCGGCAAATTTCACCACAAGGCTGGAGGAAGCACCCTAGTTTGCAGGAGGAAAGGCACAGGCTTCAGATTCTTTAGCCATGACTCTGGCATTACGGGGGGGTTGGACTCAATAGGAATATGGCATCTAGATCAAGGGAAGTCATAGTGCCACTGTATTCTGCTCTGGTCAGACCTCACCTGGAGTACTGTGTCCAGTTCTGGGCACCACAGTTCAAGAAGGACACTGACAAACTGGAACGTGTCCAGAGGAGGGCAACCAAAATGGTCAAAGGCCTGGAAACGATGCCTTATGAGGAACGGCTAAGGGAGCTGGGCATGTTTAGCCTGGAGAAGAGGAGGTTAAGGGGTGATATGATAGCCATGTTCAAATATATAAAAGGATGTCATATAGAGGAGGGAGAAAGGTTGTTTTCTGCTGCTCCAGAGAAGCGGACACGGAGCAATGGATCCAAACTACAAGAAAGAAGATTCCACCTAAACATTAGGAAGAACTTCCTGACAGTAAGAGCTGTTCGACAGTGGAATTTGCTGCCAAGGAGTGTGGTGGAGTCTCCTTCTTTGGAGGTCTTTAAGCAGAGGCTTGACAACCATATGTCAGGAGTGCTCTGATGGTGTTTCCTGCTTGGCAGGGGGTTGGACTCGATGGCCCTTGTGGTCTCTTCCAACTCTAGGATTCTATGATTCTATTCTATGACTAGATGACCCTGGGGTATCCTCTAACTCTGCAGTTCTATGGTTCCATCACTGGCCTGAGATCGGCTGCGGGGAGCTTCCTTCTGCCTGCCACTTCTCTCTAGCACAGCGGCAGCCAAGGAGGACTGGGTGCAACTCCCTGCACAGCTGCTTCCAGACAACAGCAGCCAGGGAGGACCAGCAATTTAACACTGCACAGGGCAGTTCCTATTTAAATCAGCCCTTTATTCCAAATCATGCGGACCGGAGTCTTGTTCTCGGCAAGCGCAGCTCGGTGGCCAATCTGGTTAGAGCTGCCCGGAACCCTACAAAGCCCCACTGACAGTCATTAACGGTTCCTTCCCCCCCCCCAACCCCCCCAACCCTCCCTGTTAAAACCTGCCTGGAAAGAGAGAGATGTCAAGAAATTGAGGGTAGCCAAAGAAGGAAGAGACAGAATAAAAATCTGATCAGAGCAGCATCTGAGAGCCTCGCCAGGCCGAAATGAATGTGAATGTTTACTTAATTCCACCTTCCCTCCCAGGAACTCAAGGCGAGATAAACTGTTCTCCCCGGCCTCATTTTATTCTTACGACAACCCTGAGAGGTAGGTTCGGGTTGTGAGAGGCTGCGACTGGTCAGCCCTATGAGCTGCGTGGGGATTCGAATTCGGCTCTCCCAGCGGTCCAGCACCGCTACAACCACAAAATTGGCCACATAATCCCAAGCCCATAACAGTTCGGAAAGCAAAATTTAGTGGATGAATTGGTTCGATTAAATAACTTTTTTTAAAAAAATGCTACGGTTAATTAGGCAACTTGGAAAAAAGTTTATTTTTAAGCACAATAAGTGTAGGTGGCAGCCATCATCTTTAAAAAGGCATTTTGGAACCACCACCCACCCTGAGCAAGAGAGGAACTCTAAGATGGAGCTGGCTGTGATGCACAGATTAATTATTTTTAATTATTGCATGTACATCCCACCGTTTCCTGCAAGGGCTTCAAGGAGGTAGGTTAGGCTGAGAGGCCGTGACCTACCCCCAAGGGTCACTGAGTGAGGATTTGAACCCAGGTCTTTCCCAGGTCCTTGTCCAATGCTCTAACCCAGCCCTTCTCAATCTTGGGTCCCCAGGAGTTGTTGCAATACAACTCCCATCAGGACCAGTGGTCAGGGATGATGGGACTTGTGGTCCCACGGCATCAAGGTTGAGAAAGGCTGCTCTAAACACTGCCTGTGGCCTTTGAATACGTTCTTTTATTACAAAGCGAGAGACCAGGACAGACACGGCCTGGACTACAACTCCCATAAGCCCCAGAAAAGGAGGAACAAGGGGAAGCGGAGTCTGGCACAGTGAGGTCTCCTTCATCGGATGGGAACCTTATAGTTTGGCATCCATCCGTCTCAAGAAACTATCGAGGGTGCCTATGGTCCTGTGTGTGTGTGTGTGTGTGTGTGTGTGTGTGTGTGAAGTCCAAATGCTTTGTTAGCAGCACTGAAGAGACCGCCCCAGGGCCCAAGCCTGGGCAGCATGTCTGGATGTGCTGGGCCCGGGGGTAACCCATGAAACGTGGTCCAGGACCGGTCCAGAATCCAAAGGTTCCGCTAGGAGTCAGTCCGACAGGGCCAAGGCAGGAAACCAGGCAAGGACAGGTACAGGATCTGGTATACAGCAAGGTTGCTCCCGCAACCTGGGACGGGGTCCGACAGCCTTTTATCTTTGTCAGGGTAGCGGCCGGTCCTGACCCCCTGGCGACTCACCTCCCTGTCTTGCCCGAAGGCGAGTACTCTTCCTGCGAGCACTCAGGTCTCTCCTTCTCTCAGACCTTAGTCTCTGCAGCTCGGGGGACGTCGGTGGGTGACTAGACCCAGGGGCCGCCTCAGCCTCCCCTGACCCTACTGGTAGTGGAGCAGCTGTAAGTGATGGCCCAGCTGGAGGCAACGAGGTCATCCCTGCATCTGGAGCCAGGGCAGGCTCCGGCCCCTGACTCGGCCCAGCTGGTGCTTGTTGCAGGGGAACCTGTGCAGACTGGGACTCTTCAGGATCAGGCTCCAGACTTGGTTCAGGTGATGCCTGAGGCACACTGAGACTCCTCTGGTTCAGAGTCTGAGCCCGAGTCCCAGGCCATCACACTGGAGGTCCTGGGCTGCCCAGACGACAAGAGCCCCACCTCGGTCTCACGGTGATGGTTCAAAGGAAAGAAGCAAGACACTTGAGACCAGCTTGGCTGCAGGAGTTTCTGGAAGGAGGTGTACAAGGCACCATCCAACCGCCTTAGGGATTTCACTCTGGTTTTGTGGAGAGTTTACAAGTGTCCCTATTTGCCAGGGACAGTCCTGAATTTACAGAAGCTACCTTTGGTGCCGCTTTTTCTTGGGACGTCCCTATTTTCATCGGAGAAACGTTGGAGGGGATGGAGTTATGCGACCCCTGAGACAAGGAGATAAGTAACTATAAAGGTAAAAGGAAAAGGACCCCTGGGCGGTTAAGTCCAGCCAAAGGCGACTATGGGGTTGTGGCGCTCATCTCGCTTTCAGGCCGAGGGAGCCGGCATTTGTCCGCAGACAGCTTTCCGGGTCGTGTGGCCAGCAGGACTAAACCGCTTCTGGCGCAACGGGAAACCATGACGGAAACCAGAGCGCATGGAAATGCCATTTACCTTCCCGCTGGAGTGGTACCTATTTATCTACTTGCACCTTGTAGGATATCCGAAAGAAGAAAAGGCTCCGGAGCGAACCCGACACAAATCCGGAGCAGAGTCCCTAAGGTATGGTTACCAGATTTTCTTCAATGAATCCGGGGACCCCCCCTTTTTTTTTGAAGCTGAGTAGCAACAGGGAGTCAGCAGTGGGGATGGTGAGGCAAAAAACCCTGGGCCCAAGCACACATGCATATTGTATAAAGGTGCAAAGCCCTTCTTTCGCACCCTGTGCAACATAAATGCGCAGAGTTTTTTTAAAAACTGGGCAACAGCGCGCTGCCCACCCATGACTCCTGAGCTTCCCCCAATCTCCTGCCCCCTTCCCCCTTTGTTTTGACTGATGCGGGAGGTTCGGGAGTTGCGGGCGGGCGGCTGTTGCCCAGGAGGGGCGCAAGGCGTGCGGTTTCTCTGCCAGGCAAGGTGCAAAGCCCCTCTTTCATACCCTGTGAAACATAAACGCTCAGAGTTTTTTAAAAACTGGGCAATGCCCGCCTGCCCGCCTGCAACTCCTGAGCCTTCCCCGATCGGTCAAAACAAAGGGGGAAGGGGGAAGGAGATCTGTACCGCCGGACGTCCCTGGTTCCCCTTTGGCAGTGGCAATCAGCAGCCCGGAGCTAGCCTGGTAGCGCAGTTGGCTCTGGCTGGCTTCAGGAGCTGCCTGCACAAGACACATCATATGGGGACTTCTGGCGAGGAAAACTGGTGGGCACTGAGGCTGCCGCTGCCACATTTCCCGGGGACAGATTTGCAAATCTGGGGACTGTCTCCGGGAACCGGGGACGTCTGGTAACTGTACCCTAAGGTGGTTGGATGGTGCCTTGTCTGCCACCTTCCGGCAACTCCTGCTGCACAGCTGCTGCCTTCCTTTGGACGCCATCAGTGAGGCCATTCTCAATGTCTGGGTTGCCCAGGACTTCCAGACACAATGCCCAGGATTGCGCCCCTGGGAAGGCACTTTGCTGCTCCTCATGCAGTGGTTTGACTTCACCCCCGGAGGTGCACTCCATTGTCCCTCGAGACAGACGGATGCCAACGACGGCAAATTTCTGCGTAGACATTCATAGGGTTGTGTGTGCGCTGTAAGCTGCTTTAAGGAGGGGTGAAGAAACTGTAGCTGCTGACTACAACTCCCATCATCCTAGACTGACTGCTGGGTCTTCTGGGAGTTGTAGTCCAACAATATCTGGGTGGCTGCACGCTCCCTACCCTATAGGAGAACCCTCCCTAATAGATTTGGGCTGCTATGAATGAGGTCCCTTTCTCTTATGCCTACTTAGGTCTCCTTCATCACCACAATGTCACGCAACAGCCCAAACTTTAAGCTGGGTGGAATCTACACACATATTAAAAAAACACACACGCTTTTAAAAAAAAATGTTTCGAAAAATAAATTGAATTTTGCATAGCTCCCTGTCGCCACCTTGTGTTACATCTGTACATTGCACTTAAAATGCACTTAAAACGCTTTATTTGCAGCTCTATAGCTGAGTCCTTGGATAGGGCGGCACTGGTACTCCCACAAACCTCCCACACGGATCCGCCATATTGTGACTCGTTTTCCCCATCAGCTGTTCCCCTCTGGAGGATTTCGACTCGCCTTGGGCGAATGGCCAGTTGCGACGCTGGCTCTTGTCCCAAAGGAACCCGACCACCCACCCACCCACCCCGAATTCTGACGGCACCTTACTCACAGGCATAGTTTGGCTGCCATGAAGGGCGTGGATCGCTGCCTGGGCCTCCGTGTGAGAGGAGAATTTAACAAAGGCACAGCCTGGAGGGCGTCAGAGGAGACAGAGAGAGAGAGAAGAGGAGGACAGAAAGGAAAGCTGCAAGTGAGAACAGAGCTGGAGGAAAGTATAGTTTATGGAACATTGCCTGTTCAAATGGGAGGGAAGAATCCCATGGGCCCCTCTTTGTGCAAAATTCCCATGGCCCCCCACCCTACTTAATTTCCCATGGACCCCTCTTTGTGCAAAATTCCCATGGCCCCCCACCCTGCTTAATTTCCCATGGACCCCTCTTTGTGCAAAATTCCCATGGCCCCCCACCCTACTTAATTTCCCATGGACCCCTCTTTGTGCAAAATTCCCATGGCCCCCCACCCTACTTAATTTCCCATGGACCCCTCTTTGTGCAAAATTCCCATGGCCCCCACCCTACTTAATTTCCCATGGACCCCTCTTTGTGCAAAATTCCCATGGCCCCCCACCCTACTTAATTTCCCATGGACCCCTCTTTGTGCAAAATTCCCATGGCCACCCACCCTGCTTAATTTCCCATGGACCCCTCTTTGTGCAAAATTCCCATGGCCCACCGCCCTACTTAATTTCCCATGGCCTCCATTCATCCCAGGAGCAACTCCACACTACAAGCAAGCATATGGCATGACTTTTGAGCCATAGGTGACCTTCCAACCACACAAAGCTTATAAGTTTTTACACAGAGAGATAGGTAGATAGATAGAGAGAGAGAGAGAGAGAGAGAGAGAGAGAGAGAGAGAGAGTGTCAAGGAAGAGTCATTATCACAGTTCAAATACAAGGTGTGGTTTTGAGGGCCAGGCAGAGAGCCCTGGGGGCCACATTGGGTTCTCCAGCCCGAGGTTCCCAACTCTTTTCACACACCATAATAACATGCAACCCTGCACAGCACGTCAAGAGGGTGTTTCCCCCCTCTTTTACATTAGCCGATAGCCTTGCTGAAGGTATAAGAGCACTGCCACCGATGATTTATTACAATGGCTCTCCAAAACTCGCCAATCAAACCAGGCAAGGCATAAATGCAAAAGCAAGAGGTTAGTCCTCATGGTGAATAATAATATAATAATAATAATTTATTATTTGTACCCCGCCCATCTGGCTGGGTTTCCCCAGCCACTCTGGGCGGCTTCCACAGAGACCAAAAATACACTAAAATGTCACACATTAAAAACTTCCCTGAACAGCAACACTGAATGCCTTTTTGCTATTGTCCCCCCCCCCCCCGTGAGAGATGCTGTGAGGCACCCGAGTGCAAAGAATGTAATAATAATAATAATTAATAATAATAATAATGCGGCCTGAGGACAGCCAATTCCCAGTGTTCTCTGCAGAGTGCTTTGGGAGTGAAACCAGTTTCAAAACGGATTGAATTTGCAAACAACTCTTCCCTTTGAGAAGAGGTCAAGTCTGCTCTTGAAGGGACAGCTCAGCTAGTAGAGCACAAGACTCTTAATCTCAGGGTGGTGGGTTCGAAACCCACGTGGGGCAAAAGATTCGTTCCCCACCCTAGATGGACGGAGGACCAGAGACTGACCTTTGCTGTTCCCGTCCGGCCCTCTGAGAACCGTGCATTCGTCAATGACTCCGAAAGGTTCAAAGAGGCGCAGTATGTCTTCTTCCGATTGCTGCTTGTTCAACATTCCCACAAAGAGCTTCCTGTCCCCTAGAGGGGGGAAAAGAAAAGAAAACCACAGAACCATCAACTTTCTGTGGGTCTCTCAGGATGGAGGGGGGAAAGATGGGGCAATCTGTAGGAGTGCAAATATCCAGAGTGTGGGGTCAGGTGGGATTACTATGAGGAATTATAAAATGTGCATCAAGCCATTGTGTCCACGATGAATGCATTGTGTTGACTGGGCTTGATACATTGACAATCATTTCTTTTTTTAAAAAAAAGATATTTATTAAAGTTTCAATGTTTTCCAGAAATAAGAGGGGAAAAATACAAAGTAAAAACAGTTAAAAACAGATCAGTTTTTCCAAATCTTATCTTTCATTTGCTTGTTTCCCTGACCTCCTCACACCTCCCTTTTTTGTATTCCAGTTCAATTAGTTAATCCAGCAAATCCTTTCCCTCTTTGATTTTATCTTAATCTTTTATCTTAGTATATTATAGTTTTAGATTATCTCCTGTTAACAAACCATTTTACATATTCCTTTATAACATTGCTACTAAAAACCACTTAACTTCAATCCAACATCATTCTAACATTCATTAATTTTGCAGTGTTTCTGTAAATAGTCTTTAAATTTTTTCCAATCTTCTTCCACTGACTCTTCTCCCTGGTCTTTGATTCTGCCGGTCATTTCCGTCAGTTCCATATAGTCCATCACCTTCATCTGCCATTCTTCCAGGGTGGATAAATCTTGTGTCTTCCAATACTTTGCAATGAGTATTCTTGCTGCTGTAGTAGCATACATAAAGAAAGTTCTGTCCTTTTTTGGCACCAATTGGCCGACCATGCCCAGGAGAAAGGCCTCTGGTTTCTTCAGGAAGGTATATTTAAATACCTTTTTCATTTCGTTATAGATCATCTCCCAGAAAGCCTTAATCCTTGGGCATGTCCACCAAAGGTAAAAGAATGTACCTTCAGTCTCTTTACATTTCCAACATTTATTATCGGGCAAATGATAGATTTTTGCAAGCTTGACTGGTGTCATGTACCACCTGTATATCATTTTCATAATATTCTCTCTTAAGGCATTACATGCCGTAAACTTCATACCTGTGGTCCATAACTGTTCCCAGTCTGCCATCATAATGTTATGTCCAACATCTTGTGCCCATTTAATCATAGCAGATTTCACCATTTCATCCTGAGTATTCCATTTCAACAGCAAGTTATACATCTTTGACAAAATCTTGGTTTTGGGATCTAACAGTTCTGTTTCCAATTTTGATTTTTCCACCTGGAAACCAATTTTCTCATTGACAATAATTTCTGATCAAATCCCACAACCCTCTGCATCTCTGGCCATTTCCTCTACTGCCCATTTCTCTTGCTTGGCAAGTCACGTACACAGCCCAGTTGCTTCGCCAGGCAGTACCCTGGGTCATTAAAGATACTGGGCAAGTTTCTTTGATGTAGCTTTTCTGATATGTTAATCTTAGGATGTTAATCTTTAGGCCAGGAAACAGATCTCACCTGAAGGTGATAATGATGCTGTCCTCCTGGCCATCCTTCTTATCATGTATTTTGCTTGTTTATGACCTCAGGGGTTGCCAAAGGCACTCCTTTGTAGTTCTGCTCTTTGTTTACCCCAGAAATATGTGTGCTTGATTAGTTTTGGTAGTTTAACTTTGACCCCACGTGAGGTTTGTTGAAATGCTCAGAAGAAATCTGATTGGTTCTTACGAACACTCTGTAAAAAGCTCTTTTGTGAATAAAACGACCTGGGCTAGGGGCTAGAGGCAGAGATTATTATACGCACCCTTCCCAGAGTCTTGCTGGTTCAAGCCTCTCTGTGTATTCTTATTAATCAGAGTTCAATCCTTCCTTTACTTTGGGAACGCCTCAGCAATCCACTACCCAAGGAACCCCAAAGTTACTAGTTTTGCAAAGGTACTGTCTATTCTCTTGATCTCAGGGTCTTGCGTTCAAGTTCTCTATATTCTGAAGGGGGGTAGGAATGCGATGGAGATCCCTAGTCCCCTGTATAGAACGACAGTTTCCAAGGCGGAAAGGAAGAACACAACAATCATGTACATTTCGCAGCATTAATGGTGAGATTTTGCAGCAACTACGGAGCCACACAATGTGTGCGCCTGTTTTTAAAATTGCCGGTGCTTCTGGCGCTTATCGATTTGAAGGTATGTTTCAAAGGGCATGGCACGAAAGCTTGTGATATCTCAGAAACCAGAAGGAAAGCTTCAGTTCCCTTTCCTTAGGGTTCCCATATGTTCGCTCGGAGCTAGAATACGGCAGTCTGAAACAGCGTCCAGGCGGCAATCGTTGTAATGTCTTGGAAAATCCAGACGTATTGGCAAATGTCCTTGACAACATTTGTGTCTGAATTTTCACTTTTTGAAATATGGCAATCCTACCCTTCCTACATAGGGGACGCGGGTGGTGCTGTGGTCTAAACCACAGAGCCTAGGACTTGCCGATCAGAAGGTCGGCGATTCAAATCCCCGTGATGGGGTGAGCTCCCGTTGCTCAGTCCCAGCTCCTGCCAACCTAGCAGTTTGAAAGCATGTCAAAGTGCAAGTAGATAAATAGGTACCACTCCAGCGGGGAGGTAAACGGTGTTTCCGCGCGCTGCTCTGGTTCACCAGAAGCGGCTTAGTCATGCTGGCCACATGACCTGGAAGCTGTACGCCGGCTCCCTCAGCCAATAAAGCGAGATGAGCGCCGCAACCCCAGAGTCGGCCACGACTGGACCTAATGGTCAGGGGTCCCTTTACCTTCACTCTTCCTACAATTACCAGAAACAGAGGTAAAAAGGTAAAGGTAAAGGACCTCTGGACGGTTAAGTCCAGTCAAAGGTGACTGTTCTCGCTTTCAGACCAAGGGAGCCAGCGTTTGTCCACAGACAGCTTTTTGGGCCATGTGGCCAGCATGGCTAAAATGCTTCTGGCACAACGGGACACCGTGATGGAAACCAGAGCGTATGGATACGACGTTTACCTTGCTGCCGGAGCAGTACCTATTTATCTACTTGCACTTTTGGCATGCTTTCGAACTGCTAGGTTGGCAGGAGCTGGGACAGAGCAACGGGAGCTCACCCCGTCGCGGGGATTCGAACCGCCGACCTTCCGATTGGCAAGCCCAAAAGGCTCTGTGGTTTAGACCACAGCATCACCCGCATTCCACCAGAAGGAGAATACATCATGCAGCATAGTAAATGTTGATGAGAAATTATGCAAAGTAAGAGAAGTCCTATACAGTGGTACCTCGGGTTAAGAACTTAATTCGTTCTGGACAGTGGCGTAGCGTGGGTTGTCAGCACCCGGGGCAAGGCAAGTAATTTGCACCCCCTAACCCGTGGATTTGCGCCTCCTAACCCGTGGATTTGCGCCCCCTAACCTGTGGATTTGCCCTAACCCCAGATGTTGCGCCCGGTGCGGCCGGCCCCCCCCTGCACCCCCCACGCTACGCCACTGGTTCTGGAGGTCTGTTCTTAACCTGAAACCATTCTTAACCTGAGGTACCACTTTAGCTAATGGGGCCTCCTGCTGCCACTGCGCCGCTGCCGCACAATTTCTGTTCTCATCCTGAAGCAAAGTTCTTAACCCAAGGTACTATTTCTGGGTTAGCGGAGTCCGTAACCTGAAGCGTCTGTAACCCGAGGTACCACTGTATATGGGTCCATCTTCCATAATTCATTGTTGTTTCGTTGTTTTGTTGTTTAGTCGTGTCCGCCTCTTTGTGACCCCCTGGACCAGAGCACGCCAGGCACTTCTGTCTTCCACTGTCTCCCGCAGTTTGGTCAAACTCATGCTGGTAGCTCCGAGAACACTGTCCAACCATCTCATCCTCTGTCGGCTCCTTCTCCTTCTGCCCTCCATCTTTCCCAACATCAGGGTCTTTTCCAGGGAGTCTTCTCTTCTCATGAGGTGTCCCAAGTCTTGGAGCCTCAGCTTCAGGATCTGTCCTTCCAGTGAGCACTCAGGGCTGATTTCCTTCAGAATGGAGAGGTTTGATCTTCTTGCAGTCCATGGGACTCTCAAGAGTCTCCTCCAGCACCAGAATTCAAAAGCATCCATTCTTCAGCCTTCTTTATGGTCCAGCTCTCACTTCCATACATCACTGCTGGGAAAACCATGGCTTTAACGATACGGACCTTTGTTGGCAAAATGATGTCTCTGCTTTTAATTCATTAATTCATTACAGGTCAACAAATCCACAGCTTTTCTTATCGGAGAAAGTGGGTTATCTTGCACCGAATATGCCAATGGCTGTACTTGAAAGCTTTGCAAGAGCTGAGCTACCCGATTAAACGGCTTTCTCCTGGCTTTCTCCTTTCTCTTCTTCACTCTACTAATGAAGAGGGAGAGTGTTTTTGCATTCCTTCTGGGCTGCTGTTTCCGGGCTTCAGAAGACGCTCCAACCAGTTATCAGCAGGGCGGATTTAGGTAAAGTGTTCGGGGGGCATATTTCTGGGGATGACAGCTCCACAGGGTATATTGCATCCTCTCTCTTTTTTTAAACCCGTAAGAGGAGTCATCTTGGCAAACGGGTAAAAAAATGTGACATTCCCCCGGTGGGGTGCCGCACAGATGCCCAGGGGGGCGTTGACAAAGGAAAGGAACGTGTTGAGGAACTATGCAAGGAATGCCTTATTGCAAGCGACAAGATCAGAGGGTCTGCCTTGGAAAGGGAGTGGATTGGAGGCGACGTGTGTCAGGAGGAATTGCAAAGGGGGCAGGATCTGTTGGAGGAGGCAGTGACCTGGAAAGAGATTGCTTCTGTTTTGATTTTGGGAGATGGGCTGTGAGGCACGGGGTTTCCCGTCCCCAAGCTGCATGCTGAGAGGTCCATCGCAGGCTGGGCACCTGCCCTGCATGCAGAAGGTCCCAGCTTCCCTCCCCAGCAGGTAGGGATGGACAGCCTGCCTTGCCTGAAAGGCTGGACAGCTGCCGCCGCCAGTCAGTTTGGACAAGAATGAGCTTGGCGGACCATTCATCCAACTAAGAATACTGCTATTTTAACTTGGGGAGGG